TGCGTCTGTCTTCATCAGCATGTCTGAGATTTGTCCATGCTGAAGGAGGTGCTAATCTCTGTTTTTATTTCTGATTAATAACATTGTTGTATGAAAATAGCCCAATTTGTTGATTCCATTACTGATAGATATCAGGGCTGTTTCCATGGGCCAAATGGATCACACTGCTGTGAAAATTCATGTACCCGTCTGGGTGTGGATGTATGCTTCCATTAGTCTTGAGTAAATTCCTTGGAGTGAAATTTCTTGGTGTTATACTGGCCCATGTTTACCAGACAATGCCAAATGGACTTATGAAATGCCACTCCATCGCCTGACCCCCAGAACTGAATGAGAGTCCTAGTTGCTCCACATTCAGCAGGAAGGGATTTAATGTGGAATGTGCTTACAAAACAGCTGGATAGTGTAACATTGCCCGAGGAATCTCTTTCTATTCATCCCTGGTAGAGTACCAACAGCATACCAAAGGCATGATTCCACCCAAGTCCATGTTGGAGGAGTCAGTGAGTCTATTGAGGTTATATATAGGAGCAGAACCAGCTGTTTTACTGAAAAGTCCTGACATGGGTGATAACTTCCCAGAAGCTGCATAGATGAAGTCTCTCTTCAGTTAGCCTTCCACCTCCTGTATACTAGAATGCCTTCTGAGACCATGTTCAGCTGGAGTAGGACTAAGTGTGCATGGGGCGTAGGGTGTGTGAATGGAGAGTGTGTATGTGTGTGAGAGAGAAAGAGGAGGTATGTGTGGGGGAGTGCAGGAGCCTCAAGATCAATAGCCCTCTTCCAGTTCAGAATGCTAGTATGCTCTATCTTGAGACGTCAGAGGTATGGGGTATGGTCCCAGGACCACAACCCTCACTGTCACCCTCAGCAGCCCGAGCCGTTCCTCTAGAAGTGTAAGAATCTCATTATGGACCGAAACAGAAAAGAATTGCAGGACCAGACAGTTTACAAATCAGGGTTAGGATTTAATAAAGATATTCTAACATAAGCCTAAGTGTTAAGATTCTCAGAAGAAAGTAAAGCACACCCAAGAGCAAGGATGTAGGCTTCTCTAAGATGAGTTGAATCTCTCTGTCTGTCTCTGTCTCTGTCTCTCCCCAAAAGTCATAGACTGAATTCTGGTGGAGTCATTTGGGAAAGGAAACCTCAACTAAGAAAATGTTCCCACCACTTTGGCCTGTGGATGAACCTGTAGTGCATTTTCAGTTCATGACTGATGCGGGAGGGTTCAGCTCACTGTGAGCAGTGCTGCACCTCGGCTGCTGGTCCTGGGTGTTATAAGAAAGCAGGCTGAGCAAGCCACGAGGAGAAAGCCAGTAAGCAGCCCCCTCCATGGTCTCTGCATCAGTTCTTGACTCCAGGTTCCGGCCGTGGCTTCCTTTCACGATGGACTGTGATGTGGAAGTGTAATGGAAATGAAGCCTTTCCTTAACAAGATGCTTTTGGCTATGGTGTTTCATCACAGCAATAGAAATGCTAACTAAGACACTGTCTTTAAAGGGTGGTTCCCGAAGGATGCTTGACAGTATCACCCTTGGTGAGTTCCAGGATGCAGGAAGACAGGAAACCTTTATTGCAAACAAAGTTAGCAGTATGGGGAAAGGAATGAGTCCCACTCAGGGTCATATGCATTCTGGCTATAAGCCTGGCTCATTGTTACTTTAGTTTACATACGAAAGGAATATGATTTCCCTGTGGCAGCCTTATAACAAGTGTTCATTGTGCTGGAATTCTGGCTTCTCAGCTGGTGAGAGACTTTCATCAGATTCTGGCATGACAGGCTCTGGTCCCTTCCCCTGTTCCTATAGTTCCTATCTGGCTATCCTGCCTCAGTGGGAGTTGTGTGGGTAATCAGACTTCCTCCGATTTTGAGATTTGATGGCCATGCCAAGGAGGACAGAATTCCATAGTAGCATTTCACGGTCTTCCCCGCTTCCTGCTGTTCCTCCGCACTGGCCACTCCCTGGAGCTCTCCAGCCCCCTTCTTTATGTCGCTGCATCTGCAGCCTCCCATCCTGTTGTCCGTTCCACCTGCTCTATTAGTGCTAGCAGTGTGGTGGCACATCTTCAGTCCTAGCACACAGGAAGCAGGGGCGTGGCCACCACCATGACTTTGAGTCCAGTCTGGTCTACACAGTGAGACCCTGTGTGTTGAGAATGGCCACCATAGGCTCATATATTTGAATGCTTGATCCACAGTTGGTGGGATCACTTGGGAAGAATTAGGAGGCCCTGTTGGAGGAGGTGTGTCACTGGGGACAGATAGGCTTGAAAGTTTCAAAAGCCCAAGCCATTTTCAGTCTCCCTCCCTCCCTCCCTCCTCTCCCTCCCTCCCTCCCTCTCCCTCCCTCTCTCTCTCTCTCTCTCTCTCTCTCTCTCTCTCTCTCTCTCTCTCCCTCTCTCTCTCTCTCTCTCTCTGTGTGTGTGTGTGTGTGTGTGTGTGTGTGTGTGTGTGTGTGTAAGAGAGAGAGAGAGGTGTCTCCCGGCAGACTGGAAAAGTGAACAAACACTTGCTTATATAGCTGAAACCAGGAGAGTGGGGTAGCAAAGGTATTTGCACCAATCACGGCATAGTCTTTACTGCAGATGAAGGATTGTGTTTGTGCCAAACAAAGTCCTTCTGCTGGACCACCAAGGGAAGTACCCCGACCCCGAATAGAAATGGCTGCCAGGATTGCCAAGGCTTGTCGTTGGTGAGGCCTCCGGACAAGCTGAAATGTTCTGACTTTTCCAACTGCAATAGTGCTTTTGCGACAAGCAGCTGTGATTGGTGTGTAGCTTCCTCAAGGTGCATCTGGTTGCCAAGGAGGGACTGCTTGGCCTCCCTTGAAGTCTTAAGACAGCCCAGCATCAGCAAGGAGTTTAACAGTGTTCCAATCTCACTTCCTCTGCTCTGATAAAATACCCTGACAAAGAGTAATTTAGGGAAGAAAGGGTTTATTTGGCTCATATCCAGGTTATAGTTCATCATTGTGGGGAAGTCACGGTGGGATACCTAAAGCATCATGTCCACAGCTAAGAGGAGAGAGAGAATAAACATGGGGACTTTTGCTAGCTTTGTATTCAGCTAGCTTTCTCTACTCTTATATAGCCCATGGTCCCAAACCAGAGGATGGTGCTGGTGAGCATGGTCTGGGTCTTCCTATATCAATTAACAATCAAGACAAGTCCTTGTGGACACACTCACAGGATAGCTTACCTAGTTTACTCTGCATTAAAACTCTATTCCAGGTGATTTTAGAGTGTGTTGCATTGACAGTTAAAACAAAAACACAAGCAGCTATCCACTGTGGAGTCAAATTAACAGCCTCCAGTACCTTAGCTTATTTAGGAGAATATAAACAATTAAAGAATGCTGTTTTTAGGCTGAGAGGTGGTAAGAGAACAAACTGCTCTTCAGATGACCTGAGTTCGATTCCCAGGACCCACATCAGGTGGCTCACAAGCACCCGTAACTCCAGTCCCAGGGGTATCTACACTCTGGTCTTCAGCACCTACACACACATTTCCCCTCCCCATATTCATAATTAAAATAATAAAAATTCTTTTTAAAAAAGAAAGCTATTATGGCTTAGGTATAAAATTCTCCTCTCTCCCACCTCACCCCAGGCTCATCTGTTTAAATAGGCCCCCAAGGTTGTGGCGCCTTGTGGGAGAGCCTGTGGAACTTTGGGAAGGACAAGGCTTCTGGGAGGGCCATCCCAGTGCTAGCCCATTTTCTCTGTCTCCGTATCCACCATGTTGTGAGCTAGTTATGCTACGAGTTCCTGTGACCAGAGACAGAAGCCAATCTTCCCAGGAGAACAGTGGGGCAAAATAAACCCCCCTTCAAGTGGCTTCCTATTGGGTTAATATCTCACGGCAAAGAGTAGCATTAATAACTAACCCACATAAAAGACCGTCCCTCTAACAATGTTTCTCCCACCCTGCAGGAACCCATCCCTGAATTCTGAGGTCAACGCAGGAAAAAGTGAGAAAGCCATAGCCGTGTGTGTGTTATTTTTAAGGCGTCAGTTGTGGGCAGGAATGGCTAGGAATAGGAAAGAGTCTAAGCCAGGGACAGAGAAATAGTAAAAGCATGAAAAGCCCCTCTAAAAGCAGGAACTCTGGAAGGGCCATGCAGAGGTGAGGGAAGCCGCTAGAGGGCACCCGTATCTAACCAACTGCCTAGAAGGGGGCGGGGCATAAATTATTGTACTACTTTGTTCTTTCAAGGGTTTTCCACGGAGCCCTTGGTGGAAGACCCCAGAAGGTTGTGTCCACACCGCAACATTCAGCTTTGCACGACTTTGCACACAATCAAAAGAGGCAGTCCTCAGGGGCTCCGGATGTCCTGTTCCTGGAAGTACACCCTTCCCTGTATTCCATCACTGAAGGGGGACAGGAGGCTAAAGGTGATGCTTTCCTTGGTTGCTTTAGTAAGAATCAGCCATTGGTTTCTACGGCCCTGTTAAAAGACAGTTGTCAGGGGAAAGAACTAAGATCATTACTCTTAACAGAGCTATGAAAACAACCACATCGTAAGATTTTAGTTGATTTGTTAAACCGCGGGAGACCCACACAGATTTTATAACTGGTTAAAGGAATTGAATTGTAAAGACCAAGTCTGTTTTTCCACACAGGGAAATAAAAAGATTCTACCAGACAAGACAGAGTTTGCACAGCTATAGTTATCTGTAAGTGACAGGGATAGGGGGTGTGCATCGAGTGTAAGGGACAGACTTACAGGTTGGAGAGTCCAGTTTCTTATCTTGGGCTAATGCAGCTCCTCTCAGCTTGTCTGGTCTTGGTTTCCTCCTCTGTAAAATGGGGCTAACTAACTGATTTCCCTCCAGGGTTGCTGAGAAGGTGGAGTGAGCCGCTAGCTGCTTAAAACGGGTCTCATGATGTGTGAGCAAACTTTGACCTCCCTTTCAGAGCCCTTAATATTCTCACCAGGACCCTCCATGCCTGAATCGGGCTCCTTGTTTTGAATTGCCTTGTTCTATCCTCTGCAGGTCCCATGATGAGCGAGACTCTAAGTAGCAGACCAAACTCACAAAGATGGTGGTGACACTTTGAGGATGCTCTGAAAACCATCACAGATTCAGAGACCTAAAGAAGGTTATTGAATCAAGTGTTGCCCCAGGCCCAGTTTGGAACTCCAAGTGCTGCTCCAGACCAGGGTAAGCCTGGCATGTATATCCAGATTGCAGGAGGAGATAGGGGATGGGCCATGAGGTCAGAGAGTAACAACAGGGAAGCTGAATATTGTCGGGGTCTGTAGGTCAAGGGAAGGAATGGTTGATTCTGTGGAACGTCAGGTGGTCCACGCAGGCCTCATACCCTGTCAAGACCTCCTCCTCTGCCCATCTCCCCAGGAGAGCTGCACAACTCTTCTCCTGATTGCTGCTCTCTGCACTTCCTTCCCTCTGCAGGACACTGCACAGCTGCCAAGCTTTCAGACCAGAACAGCCTGGGAAGGTTCTGGCAGGTGGCATGACTGTGGTGAGTCATGGCAACTGGCAGGGATGATGCAGGGGTGGCTTCCAGCCTCTAGCACGTGAACTTCAGACCGTCCAGCATCACAATAGTTTCCACCTTGCTCACATGGCCTGGCGGACAGGGCCAGCCTGGCTGGACTCTAACAAGAGGAGAGAAAGAGACTTATCTCATCCACTGGGTCAAACCTAAGTGGGTGGTGAGGATAAGAAGGATGGGCAGGGGATAGCCTCCTCTACAGCAGTGTTCCTATGCCTTGTGGGTGACCTCTCTGTCACCTGGGTAGAGCCACCATCCCAGGGCACCCCTGTTCTAACATTGCAGCAAGGTAAGGCCTCCTGAAATCAGTTAGGGCCTTTAGCGACCCAGATCCATGCCTGCCATCCATTGACAGGACAGAAAAGGTCCCTGTCTTTATAGAGACTTAGTATGGAACAAACAACAATTCAAACTGGTTTGTTTAAAAAAAATGGATTTATTCCTTATATAACAAACTATTCCAAGGATAAAACAAAGCAGGGAAGGACGAGGGGTCAGGGATGTTTTAGCTGAGAAGGCCGTCCTGACAAAGGGTGTCTGAGTTACGGCCCAGTAATGAATGGAGCCGGGTGGTGACACAGGCAGAGGGGCTAACAGGTGCAAAGCCCTGAGGAATGCCTGACATGTGTGACCAGAGTAGAGAGGGAGGCAAGGGATGAGACCTGAAGTCAGGGGTGGCACGTCTTATATGGGTCTTATAGGGTCAAGGAAAAGAATGGAAACATCTTTTAGGAAAATCTTTTATTTCATGTCCTGAAAACCATTAGATTCCGGTAGGCTTTGCTGATGCAGGGATGGAGAAAGGCACAGGAGTGGAGGGTGTAGAGACCCCAACACCACCACTGGTGACCAGCCCGACCCTCAGCTTCAGGATGTCCAGATGAGGAACCAGAGAGAGGAACTGGGGTCTGGTTACCTAGCAAGGTTGATCAGGGACCTTGCTGTTGGAGACTGCTGTGTCACCCCTTCGAGTCACCTAAAGCCCCCAGGTGAGCAGACTGCGCTAGAGCATGTTGTTGTCTGCCACCATCCACCATCCTCTGGGTGACAGGGCTTCCCTGTGGCAGCAGTACCCAGGCTTGTCTCCAGCTAAGGATCGCAGCTTCATGGGAGAGAGTGTATGGTAGACACTACAAGCTCCCTGGAAACCCAAAATCTGAAGGAAGCATAGGAAAACCCATTTTACAGATCAGGAAACAGAGGCAGACTGACAGGAAGTGGGACACTAAGGCCCAGAGAAGACTTAACTGGACAGAAGCACAGCAGGGACTTGAATTCCTGATTCTCCAAAGCTTGTGTCCCTTGCTCAATTCTGAGGAGACAAAGATCCTGGGGGTACACACACTGTGACAAAGCTTTTCCTGGGAAGAGGAAACACACTCATCTAGACATCCAGGACAGGGAACCCACAACAGATCCAAGTACAGACACCACCAAAGTCCAACGTGGTGAGCCAACGAGTTTGATTGGTGTCACTTGCAGGAATATGGGTGAGGGGCTACTCACGGGAACAGAAATGACTCAAGGACAACTACATCCCCACCCCAGCATGGGTGACAGCTCACAAAGGTGGGGAAACCTAGAGCACACCACACAGCCTGCAGGCAGCTCTGAGCGTGGAGAGTGTCTTCCAAGGTGCCTCAGTTGGTCTAACCCTCTTCCGGGCAGCCCCACTTATTTGAGAGTCCTCTTACAGCTCATCTCCTCAGAATCTTTGCAGCTCAGCAGGTCTGACCAGCCTCTTGGAAGCTGGGATCAGCTCCCTTTGGGAGGGAAGGACCTAGTGAATCTGGTCAGTTTCAGGGAGCTTCAAGCTATTTTGTTGTTGTTGTTAAGGAGCAGGGAGCAATGGTTTTTTTCTGGGATGAGATTGTTGCACTCTGCCGGCCCCGGAACCAGGTTCTGCTTTGCATCCCAGCTCTCCCACGAGTTGGATGGGGGCTTTGGCAATGCGAATCACATCTCTGGCTCCCCCTGTCTTCATCTGCAAATGAATTTAGTGATGGGTAGACTACCGTCCCATAAGACTGTGGCAACAGCTAGGGAGACAGGCGGGCTTGGGTTTTCATGTTTCATTTTTGTGCTGAGACCTATGTATCCAGAATCGGTTGAGTGAAATGGTGATCGGAGAGCTGAGAGTCTAGGAACTGTTTACATGTCAATACCAGGAGCTAAGGGAACTGTAGACATTTGGGCTGTGAACCAAAAGATTCAGGGGCTCCTTAGCCGTTGGTGCAGGATCTGGAGTGGAGGCTGGTGTGAGGATTGGCCCTTACCCGACAGTCCTGGGAGCTGGGGGGAGGCTGTGGTGACAATGACATAAGTCAGTATGCAGAGGGTGGAAACAGGGGCAAAGACTAACCATCTCCTCCCCCAGAAAACCAACAAGAAAACTGGAAACCAAGGTCAGAACCAACTTTTTTCAGAACTTTTGTGGTTAATCCAAGGCTTGCAGCAATTGAGGGATCATTTATTCAAGAAAGAAGGTTAAGAGACTAGGGAGATGGCTCAGTTGTTTTAAAAAATGCTCATTCTGCAAGCATGAAAACCTGAGTTGGATCTCCAGCCCCCATATGAGGGTGCATACACCTCTAATCCCAGAGCCTGGAAGGCAGAGACAGGAAGATCCCTTGGCCTTTGTGGCTAGGCAGTCTATAGATAATTGGTGAGCTCCAAGTCCAGTAAGAGACCGTCTCAAAAAATAAGAGTGATGGAAAATGATACGTGATGTTGATTTCTGGCATCCACATGCATGCATGCATACATACACGCGCATGTGCGCGTGCACACACACACACACACAAAGAATGAAGGCTAAGTGTGAGTTGAAGCAGTGGCCTTTGTGGGGTTCTTGACCCATTTCCAATGTTATGGTAGCTTTGGGAGCCAACAGACCACCTCCAAGATGAAAAAGCCATCCTAAAGCTACCAGAAGGGGCAGATGGGACAAAAGTTCCTTCAAGGCCTAGGAACTGTAATTAGGCATCTTGTCTGGTCTCTGGAAGACCCCGCTTTGCAAGGCTGCTTTTATTTTACCTGACTCCCAACTTACCCAGTACAGAAGGCCTTTGTCATGTCTTTTCGTCTTTTCTCTGGGGAATATTTGCCAAGGCATTTACAAGCAATTGTGCAACTTTGGGACGACTTTGGTGGCAGATAAAATTTGGGAAGAACAATAGGCTAACCAAAAACCTTAAATTGAATAACCAGAGAAGGAGACGATTCATAGTGGCTTGGGAAAGCTCTGACCAGTTACTGAGAGTCTACAAGGCTTGCAGGGCTGTGTGGAGCCCATGCTCCTGCATAGGCTCTGAAAAGGGCCCTGCACTCCCTCTCTGAATAAGGGTTGAATGACAGCCCAGCAGGTAACCAATTGCCTGGCTGAGTTTCTAGAGCAATGCTCAGCATATGCAAAGAACCCCTCTGCACAGACAGGATGATTTACAAGTTCTGAGTATTTAAGGAAATCCCTGCCCAGTCATTGACTGACCACTAAGGTGAGTAGAAATTTTAGTACCATACACACAGAAGGATGTAGCTCTTCCACAATAGGTCCTGAGAGTCATTAAGACAAACAACACATCCAGGGGAGGGGAAAGCAGTCAACACCTAGGGTATCTACTTTATGTTACAGATTTCAACAGCAAAAAGTGATGAGCCAAACAAAGGAACAATAAACCACAAGAAACACAAAGGGGTGGGAAGAGCAATCAATAGAGAGTGCCTGTGGGGAAGCCTTGATGTTGGGCTTACCCAGACAGAGTTAAAGTACCATGCTTAAAATATAGTTAGGGAACTAAGGACATCACTTACAAAGACCAAGGGAAAGTGGAATGAGGGCTCATTAAAGAGGCAATGATAATAGAGGGTTGCAAGTTACTTTAAACAGAAGTAGGTGGAAATTTAGGAGTTGAAAAGTATAATTAAAATAAAATTCCTCTAGAAGGAGGCAACAGCAAACTGGAGTAGGCAAAAAGGAAAATTAGGGAACTTTGGCCAAATGAGATTCCATGTCTGAGCATCAGAGAGAAAACAACAATTGAAACTGAACAGAACTGCAAAGATATGCAGGACTTAATCAAGCATAACATAACCTTCCTAGTAGAGAAAGAATATTTGAAGAAAAAAATCTATGGAAAAAATAAAAACCAACAGTTGTAAATAGCACACATTCAGAGGTCCCTATCTGGACATATCACAGTCAAATTGATGAAAGTTAAAGTGGGCATACATCTTGAAAAAGAAAGATATGGTTCATCTATTATTAAGAGTCTAATAAGCTCAACAGCCAAGTTCCCTTCTGAAATTATGAAGGCTAGAAGGCAGCAGATGACATTCCCAAAGCACTGACAAAGAGTGCCAATCAGTAATCCTGTATCCAGAAACATGGCTCATCAGGTAAAAGGACTTGCCACCAAGGCTGATGACCTGAGTTCCATCTCTGGGACTCACACGAGGGAAAAAAAAGAACCAACTCTCACTATCTGTCCTCTGATCTCAACACATGTCCCATGGCGTGTACATACTGCCTCATATACATGGACACAAAATACATAAATAAAATGAAAGAAAATGTGTTTTTAGAAAATAAGAAGAAACGAAGACATTTCTATGTAAACAAAAGCCTGGAGAGAATGTGGTTGGC